ATATAGTGTTATGTATACATGTACCTATACATGCTTATAACATGCTAATACTATATGTATATATATATATATTATTAATATTGTAGTATTTAATGTTATTATGTGTATACTACTTATATGTATATATATGTATACTACTATGTATATATATGTATAATATATATGTATATAGTATTGTATATATATTGTATATATATATATATGTATTTATATTATATATATAACATTACACTCATATATACATATATATTATCACTTTATACATATATTATATATGTTTATATATATATAATATTATATTATACTATATATATTATATACTATATATATGTTATGCTGAATGTTATTTATTACAATATGCATACAGGTGTGCATGCATATTCGAAACACAGTAGCGAACTCGCGCACAAAACCCCTAAAGCGAAGCAAAACGCTTATCGTGGAACAGTGTTGATTGGGCACGCAGCGTGCTCCAATGTGTACTGCTTAAACTCTCAACTCTATCACAGCTTCCCGTAGCCAGTTCATAGGGCTCGCATACAGTCAGGATCGAACTTTCTCGTGTCCTCCGCATATACGTCCTGTGTGGGCACTCTCACCAACAGATTGCCTCACTCTAGTGATGCTTACCTCACCTTTGGTCCCCCGTGGTTACTGAGCCTGATAGCAACTTCTCTATACCCTATGTCGAGGCCCTCTTTGAGTAAATAAGGAAAGGAAGAAGGTAGAGGAAAAGAAAGAAAATCGCGGTGAAATGGAAACCGATACGGTGTTTATTAGGGGGTGAGGGTCAGTCATAGTGTCCTGTGTGTTAGTGCGTGCAGGGTCGTAGATAGCATATTCATGCACTAGATGAGGACCAGGTGTGTGAGCGGCAAGGGAGAGCAGCGATAAGGGAGGGAGGGCGCGTGCAGTAGGTGATTATGGGGAGTGAGAGGAGGGATCAGTGTCTGTGCCAGAGAGCTACGTACTGTCGCTCACTAACGGCAGGAGCAGAAGCTAGAGAGAGCAGAGAGATGAGAGAGAGAGAGGACGAGACGATGAGAGAGAGTGAGAGAGAGAAGCGAGAGGTCATTCAGGAGTGTGTGCGTAGGTTTTCAGTGGATCGTGGTACAGTGGTGTGTATTGTTTGTTTTCTGCACACACACCATACACACACAGCACACATTACACACCACATGACAGCACAGCATTAACACACACACAGCAAACAACACACAACTACACACAACACTCACATACAACACACACATACACACACCTACACACACACACAACACACCACACCAAACACACATACATCACACACAAACATACACACACACACAACACACAACACACACACACACACACACACACACACACACACACACACACACACACACACACACACACACACACACACACACAACACACACGGACACAGACACCACAACAAACCAACCACACAAACACGTGAACTGACTTACTTAAACACTACACGCCACACGCGCAGTGCAAACGCGCAAACACGCACATACACATGCACACACGCATAAATAGATAATAAGATATAAACAGAAAAAAATATATATACACAGATAAACACAGACAGACACAAATAGACATATATAAATAAATAAACTGATAGAAAATAGATCATAGAAAAATACAGTATATATTGAAAATGGAAAACACATACATTAGTGAATAAACTTAAAAATGGCCTCCTCACTTTCCCTTATCTGAGAGGAGAAACACGCCGTGGTTTTTTTAATAGGCAATAGGTGTTCTTAATCCATGCCTGCGGCGTGCTGCAAATATTTTAAACCATCCTCCAGCATCTGCGGAGGATTTTTCTGGAAATGAAGCGGGGGGTGAAGGGGGGGCGTTGGGAGGGGGGTGGTATTGGGGTTTGGGGGGAGGGGGGGAGGGTTGCGTAGTGGGGGTTATATGTTGGAGGGGGAGGGGTTGTGAGCTTGGGTTTTGGGGAGGAAGGTGAGGAGGGAAGGGGTTAGTGGGAGGAGGTGGTATGGTTATTAGGGCTTATGGATATGTGTTCTGTGTCTTCTCATCTCTGTGCTGTCTTCTTTGTCTTTTCTACACAACACTATTACACAACGCACATACACCACATACACACACACACATACAACACATACACACATCACATACACATCATATACACATATGCATACAATACATATATATACATACATTTATGATTATTATATGTATGTATGTGTATGTGGTGTGTGGTTGTGTGTGTGTGTGTGATGATGATGAAATAATCGGCCATCTCATGTGGCTTATTTCTGAATGTGAAGGACAAAAAATGTCGCTACATTAAAAAAAAAAATAGATAAATAAAAAGATCAAATCCATTTCGTTATTTTAGATCACAACAAGATATTCTCCATCAGTTTTCTTTTTTTTTTTTTTTTTTACTTTTATGTATTTATTACGTGTCCTTTCATCTTCTTCCAAGAAGGAGAATAAGAGAAAGAAAATTGCACACCAAGGATCTCTCCTTCAAAAAGCCCGAAACTGCGCTTCCGACCTTTGGATTTGGGCTCGGATGATTGTTCTAGGCCTCCCCCTTTATTCCCCCCTCTCCCCCTCTCCTCTTCTCCTCTTCTCCCCCTTCCCCTCTCCTCTCTTCCCCCCCGCCCCCCTCTCTCCCGAATCCTTATTGCCCCTCTTCTTCCCCCCTCTCCTGTATTCCCATTCCCCCCCCCCCCTTCCCCCCTCCTGCCCCCCAAGCCCCTGCCCTCCCTCCCTCTGTCCCTTCCATCCACTTACTTCCCCTCCCCCTCCCCCTACACCCACCTCCCCTCCTCTCCCTCTCCTCATCTCCTTCCCCTCCCTCCCTTACACAAGACACCCCTTCCCCCTCCTCCCTCCCCCCTTACACTCCACCCCCTTCCCCCTCCTCCCTTACACACTCCCCCCATCCCCTCCCTCCCTCCTTAACACTCCACCCCCTTCCCCCTCCCTCCCTCCCTTACACAAGACACCCCCATCCCCCTCCTACCCCCTCTCCCTTACACACGACCCCCCATCCCCACCTTCCCCTCCTTCCCCCCCTCCCCTCCCTCCCCTAGATCTGCTTCTTTGCTTATTGTTTAATTAATTAAGCAAAATTGCGCAATACCTTCTTGTTGATATTTTTTTTCTTCCTTTTCCTACATTTTTTCTCTTCTTGTTTGTTGACAGGTATACTTGTATCATTTTATGTTTTGTTTCATTATTTTCATTCATTTTTTTTTACGTACGTTCTCCTCTTGTGAGAACCTTTGGTGTTTTTTTTTATTTCTCTTTAAGGGTATATAAAGGACTGTTTATTTTTCTCTCTTTCTCTTTAATTTTATACAAAGGACTCTGTTTTTTTTCTCTCTTTCATTTTATAACAAAGGACTTGTTGATTGATTGAATTATAACGGGTTTTGTTCATTCTTCGGGTTGGTTCTGGTTATATTTATTTGGAAGGTTATGGCGTATATGCAAGCAATCGCCTGTGTTTCTTTTCTCTTCGTTTCTGCTCTTCTTCTCTCTCTCTTTCTTTCTCTTTCTCTCTCTGTCTCTCTCTCTCTACCTATCTATCTCTCTATCTATCTATCCTCTATCTCTATCTATCACACACACACACACACACACACACACACACACACACACCACACACACACACACACACACACACACACACCACACACACACACACACACACACACAAACACACACACACAACACACACACACACACACACACACACACACACACACAGAAGAGAGTGAGAGAGAGAGGAGAGAGAGAGAGAGAGAGAGAGAGAGAGAGAGAGAGAGAGAGAGAGAGGAGGGGGGGGGGGGAGAAAGAAAGAGGGAGAGAGACAGACAGACAGACAGACAGAGACAGAGAGAGCGCAACCAAGCACACACACAGTATTAACCAACAGAAAAAAAGTTTTATTTTTTTAACAATAGTCCTCTTCTGAAAAGCACAACATATAATGCCGGACACAAGCCACTTGTAACGAACCACGACATTATAAACACAAAAAAACAAACAAACAAAAAAAAAGGCAAAACAAAAATATAGATTCTAAAGAGAAAAACAAAAGTAAAACAATTTCTGGAAAACATAAATGTAGCAAATTCTAGAAAACAAAAATATAACAAATTGTTAAGAAAAAAATAAACACAAAATCTTAAGCAAAAATATAACAATTTCTAGAGAACAATAATATAAATTCTAGAAAACAAGAATATAAAAAAACCAAAAAGATCAAAATCTCAAACAAAATAAATAGCTAAAAAAAAAAAAGCAAAAACGAAACAAAAATCAGAATAAAAAAAAATCAAAAAGCCAAAATCACTTCCCTCGGTGACCCTAATTCCTCCTCCAGGAATCCCGACGTCCCGAGGGGGTCCGGCGCTCCCTTTCGCCGCGTGGAAGGAAGCCGCCAAGGAAGACTATTGACGTTTTCCATAACCGGGAGGCAGGCAGTAACAAGCCGTGCTCAGGACTAAAACTTTCTATTGTAAATTCCTTTCCCACGTTTATCGCCGCCGCCGCCGCCCCCTCCCTCATCTCCTTCGCCTTCGTTCTCCTGAAGCGGTTTTCTTGGCGCCTTTTTTCGAGAAAGTTTGAGGATAAGGCGATTCTTTTGTATGGATTCGTGTTTCCTTTCTTGTTTTTTTCGTGGGTTTGGCGGCTTTTCGTGGGCGTTGCGGCGTATTTCGTGAAATCTGTGGCGTTTGGAAGAGAAGATCCGGTCTGCGCGAGCCGTCCTTCAGCTCCTACGCCGAGGAGGAGGAGGAGGAGGAGGAGGAAAGAGAAATCCTTATAGGACTCTCTAAGGAACCCCGGCACGCGCGTTTCGTAAGGCGTCCGAGAGTCCGCGCCGAGGATCGTCCCGCGTCGCTCGCTCCCGGCCGCCGCGTCTCGGACCCTCTCTCTCTCCTCCCCGACGAGACCCAGTTTCTGGCGCGATCGTGGAAGGCGACTCAGAAACGGCCCGACTCTGACGGCGTGAGGTCGGGTGCAGCTCCGCACGACGCACAGGGAACTTTTTTTTGTATGTCAGAGAACATTCGCCAACATGGAAGTGGAAGCGGATATATAGTGCCAACTCCGAGGAAATAATGAGGCTTTGAGCATTTTTTTGTTTTTTCACTCGCCCAGATTTTGATTTGTGTTTGTGACTAGTGACGTGCAAGTTTTATTGGATACTATTAAAAAAAAGAGATAATAGTGAATTTTGTGAGAAAATAAGAAATAAACAAGTGGGAACATGTTATTATTTAGCAAAAGAACTTTGGTGCCACTTATAAGTGCGATTTTAGTGACCTTCTTCGTCACGACATCTGCAGGTTAGTAACAAAATCCTTTTCTTTTTATTATTTCCCCTTTTGTCGTCTTCTCCTTTTTCCCCCTTTTGTCGTCTTCTCTTTAATACCATAATTACCCTCTTTTTATACCAAACTCGCGGTATGATAATCATCCGAATAAGAATGAAGAAAATAGAGAAAATTGATTACGGAAGGATGGTGACCTCAACGCAGCTTGAGAAACTGATCTCAGGTGTGCCGCTGACATGGCCCTGTGGCACTCGCTCTCGGGCCAGTCGGGGAGGCGTTATCCTCGTGCCTGCTTCGTCCTCTCTTTGTGGTTTCTCTTATTGGTTCTCTCTTCTTCTTTCTACTCGTGTTTTCTCGTTTCTTGTCTCTTCTTCTCTTTTCTCTCTTTCTCTGTCTCTCTGTCTCTCTCTCATCTCTCTCTCTCCTCTCTCTCTTCTCTCTCTCTCTCTTTCTCTCTCTCTCTCTCTCTCTCTCTCTCTCTTTCTCTCTCTCTCTCTCTCTCTCTCATTCTCTCTCTGTCACTCTCATTCTCTCTCTCTCCACTCTCTTCTCTCTCTCTCTCTCACTCTCACTCTGTCTCTACTCTCTCACTGTCTCTCCATTCTCACTCTCTCACTCCCTCTCACTCTCATTCTCTCTCTCTCCTCCACTCATCTCTCTCTCTCTCCCTTCTCATCTCTCTTCTCTCTCTCCTCTCTCTCTCTCTCTCTCTCTCTCGCTCTCTCTCTCTCTCTCCTCTCATCTCTCTCTCTCCTTTTCTCTCTTCTCCTCATGGTTCTTCTCTCTCTCATCTCATTCTCTCTCTCTCACTCGTCATTCTCTCTCTCACATCTCATCTCTCTCTCTCTTCTCTCACTCTCTATTCTCTCTTCTCTCTCTCTCTCTGTCTCTCCTCTCTCTCTTCCTTTCCTCTCTCTCTCTCTCTCACTCTCTCTCCTCTTCACTTCATCTCTCTCCTCTCTCTCCTCTCTCCTCTCACTTCCCTCTCCTCCTCCTGCCTCTCTCTCTTCCACTCCTTCTCCGTTCTCCCTCTCTCACATCATCTTCTCTTCTCTCTCTCTCCATCACTCTCTCACTCTCATCTCTCTCCTCGTCTCTCACTCTCCCATTTCTCTCTTTCTCTCTCTCACTCTCTCTTCATCTTCTCACTCTCTTCTCTTCTCTCTCTCTTTCTCTCTCACTCTCATCTCTCTCTCTCTCTCTCACATCTCTCTTCCTCTCTCTCTCTCTTCCTGTCTCTCTCCTCCTCCTCTCTGTTCTCAATCTCATTCTTCTCTCCTTCCCTCTCTCTCTCTCCTTCTAGCTCTCTTCCTCAATTATCTCTCTCTCTCCATTCTCTCTTTCTTCTCCTCTCTCTCATCTTCTCTCTCTCTCTCTCTCTCTCTTCTCTCTCTCTCTCTCTCTCTCTCTCTCTCTCTCTCTCTTTCTCTCTCCCCCACTCTCTCTCTCACTCTATATATCTATCTATGTCTCTTAATCTGTCTCTATTTCCCATAATTATAACAAATCCCATCAAATCGCCCCGGAACCCGAGTCCAAGTCCGCACCACACTCGGGCCCCGGCTGGCTTCTGAGGAACACCCATATTGCGGTGGTATTTAGGCTAAGAGCAGCGGGCGGGCCATATGTCGCGTCGGCCCAAGCGCTAATTCTCACGCGGGCGTGTGTGTTTTGGCGTGTGTGTGTGTGTGTGTGGAGGGAGGAAAGGGGGTATGTGTGTGTGGGAGGGAGGAAAGGGGGGCATGGGTGTGTGTGTGTGTGTGTGTTTCTCCACTAGTTTGGAATTCAATTATGTAAGCTTGTTATAATATTGTCCGATGTGAAACCCTGATTTCTTTAAAGAAAAAAGAAGGGAAATATATAGACAGATAGATAAAATAGTGAGAAAGAGAAAGACAGAGACAAGACAGACAGACAGACAAACAGACAGCCAGGCAAACAAGACCAAAATGAAAGATAAAAAAAAGATAACAGGTCGGCCATCAATCTAATTGCAAGAACCTGCAAATGTCTGGACGCGATCTTTCCGTCTGCATGTTTCGTCGGGCGATGCTTAGCGTGTTAATGGTCGTAAGCTGCGATAGGAATTCGAAAGGCGTCTTATCAAGGTGGTGTGATAAGATCGGGAAAGGAATTAAATCGAGGAATGAATGGATTTGTTGAGATGTATAATTTGTGATTGTATTCATTGATAAGTGATATATGTATGTATATATATATATATATATTATATATATATATATATATATATATATATATGTATATGTATATATATGTATATATATATTATATATTATATATTTATATATATAATATATATTAAATATATTATATTATATCATATATATATATATATATAATGTGTGGTGTGTGTGCGCGAATATCCCCCCCCCCGCCCCCAAAACTCCTTTTTTCCCCCCGCGTTGCAAAAGCTCGCCTCTCCGCCGCCACCGACCCCTCGCCTCTCCCCCGCCACCGACCCTCGCCTTCCCCCCGCCTCTCCCCGCTGCCGAGGAGGCTTTTCGAGGGGCGGGTTGGCAGGCCCTTCTCGCGGCTGACTTTCACCCGGGTCGGTTGCCTGGCTGGCTGGGGAGGGCCGAGGCAGGGCTGGCGGGGAGGAGATGGGCTAAGGCGCTGGCTTGTTAACTGGTTGCCTTTTTGACTATCTGGCTTGTTAACTGGCTGGGATTTTTGACTGGCTAGCTTCTTAACTGGCTAGCTTAACTGGTTGGCTTTTTGACTATCTGGCTTGTTAACTGGCTGGGATTTTTGACTGGCTGGCTTGTTAACTGGTTGATTTGTTAACGGGGTGACTTTTTAACTGGATAGCTTGTTAACTGGTTGGCTTTTTGACTGCCTGGCTTGTTAACTGGCTGGGATTTTTGACTGGCTGGCTTTTGGACTGGCTGGCTTCTTAATTGGCTAGCTTGTTAACTGGTTGGCTTTTGGACTGTCTGGCTTGTTAACTGGGTGACTTTTTAACTGGCTGGCATTTTGACTGGCTGGCTTGTTAACTGGCTGACAGGTAAACTCGCTGACTAGTTAACTCGTTCACTGGTTAACTCGCTTACTTCTTAACTGACTTATTAACTGACTGACTTATTAACTGGTTAGCTTGTTAACTGACTGACTGGTTAACCAGCTGACAGTAAACTCACTGACTGGTTAACTCGTTCACTGACTTACTGGTCAACTGGTTAACTCTCTGCCCTGTGAACTGGCCGACTGGGCTGGCGAAGAGGAGCCGGAGGGCCCAGTCGACAGTCTCTGCCTCCCGCGCACGCATTCCGTCGCGGTCAGGTCGTAGACGTCGAGATATTGCACGTGACCTCAATTTGCAATGTTGCGAATGTGATTAGGTTTGTGTGTTTTTTTTTTCTTTCTTTTCTTTGGGTATTTTGATTTTTATTTATTTTTTCCTCTTTTCTTTGGCGTTTTGGGTTTTTTCTCTATTCCGGTTGGTGTTATTGCGATTAGGGAATAGGTGTAATGAAGAGGAAAATTTGATGTTCTTACCTTTCTAGAGTCGCTCATTTCCATATCTTGCAAGAAAATGTACAGTTGCATTTGTTACGTAATGTTGTCAAATTACCGTAAGCACTTGTTGCACAGGTATGGCAACATGCAGTCGCCTGAAACACACTTTACAAGTTATCTATTTGTAAAACACCATAAGTTTTATTTTAGATTTATGTTTGTTTCCCCAATCCTCACAGCCTAATAGGACAAAATGGAAAGTTGAATTTGAAAGAATTATATAGATTTATTTTTAGCTTCGACACCAAAGTCAAATATTTACAGATACATTGTAATCAAATTCTAGTTTGTGCAATAAAGATATGACTGTAGGACAAGCAAGAGACTAAAAATATCTACATTTTCTCTCCCCCTCTCTCCCTCTCTCACTTCTCTCTCCCTTTCTCTCTCTCTTCTCTTTCGCTCTTTCTTTCCTCTCCTTTCTCTCTTCTCTCTCCTCTCTCTCTTCCTCTCTATCTTCTCATCTCTTTTCTCTCTCTCCCTCTGTCTCTCCTCTCCTCTCTTGTATTCTCGTCTCTCCCTGCCTCTCTCTCTCTCTCTGTCTCATCACTCTCATCTCTCTCCCCCTCGTCTCCGCTCATCTCTGCTCCCTCGTCTGCCACCCTCTCTTTTCTCTCTCTTCTGCTCGTCTCTCATGGAAGCGACAATTCTCTCTCTCTCTCGGCGTCTAATACCTCATTGGAAGTCTTAATCTCTTCTCTCCTCTCTCTCTCTTCTTCTTCTGTCATCCAATCTCAGTCAACTCCTCTCCTCTCTCTTCCCCTCATCGGTCCCTCTTCGTCACTCTCTCCTCGTCATCCCTCCTCACCTCCCTCCGCAGTCTCATACCCACCATATCCTCCCCTCTCGTCCTCCCCCTTCCAGCCATCTCTCTCTTCCGTCGTCTTCTATCTTTGTCTTCTCTTCTCTCTCTTCCCCTTTCTCATGTCTCGTTCCTTCGTTCGTGCTTTCCCGGTTATTTCTCTCTCTCTTCGCTCTCCTCCCTTCGGTTCTCACTCCCTCCTCTCCGTCCCTCGCTCTCCTTCTCTAACGTCCTCCTCCCCTCCCCTACCCCCCTTCCTGTTTTAGTTTTTATTCGTTTTAGTCGCAGATTCTGATAGTCCTCTCGTCGTCGCGGGTCCGGTCGTCGTCGTACCTCCCTCCCTCCACTCTTCCAATCCCAATCTCTCTCGCGAAACTAATAATAGCTCCTCCATGACTCTCTTATGTAAAAAAGGATCTTTTTTTTCTATTCTTCTCTACTAGATTATAAACATAAAAAATGCCACGAAAAAGCATTTAAGTTTATGCAATGCGGGAGCGCGTCTCTCATTGTTTCGCTAAATAAAATTAAATTAAGTTGACTGATATGCTTCCCCATTGCGCACACCCTGTGCACCTCCTGATGTTTCTGGTAACTTGTTTGACGATCCGTCGAGGTGCAAGTTGTGGGAGGACGCAGTGGTTTTTGTTTTTTGAATGAATGAGAGAGAGGG